ACAGGTAGAGGCTTTGCGACGAGCTGATCACCCGCCCAAGGAGTCCTACCGAATGTGTAAGATCTAGAAAAACCGAAGTGAACGGAGAAGTTCATGGAGGTAGGCCTAGGCCCACTGGGGCTGTAGTGCCAAGGGAAAACAAGTTTATATGAGGGGGCACGCGGTAGCGTAGTGGTTGAGGCACTATGCTACAAGCCGGAAGATCGCGGGTTCAAGTCCCGATGAGGTCATTGGATTTTTTTTCCAATTGACCTAATCCTTCCAGCCACACAATGGCCCTGGGATCGACTCAGCCTCCAACAGAAATAAGTACCAGGAATTAATTAAATAATTTTCCTGACAACCTTACCGCCATCTTTGAGCCGATTGTCTAGATAATGTGGGACCCTCAACGTCTCAAAACCCGATGGGCCTTCACGGCCTGTTACAGGGATCTCCACTTCATTTTTAGAGGGCATTATAACAGTATGAAATTAAAAGACGGATCGCATATCTAAGTATTGCGGATAAGGCCCTCATCTCTAGTACCAATCTTCTCCACTATGAATTTCAAAATGTTGCCACACCTGAATCGGAACACTCCACGTCAGCATGCTTAAATAACTCTATGTTATAATTCCGGGCAGATGAAACTGAACTTTTTACTGCAATATTTCGTTAATGAAATTTCAGTCTGTGCCCAATTTGATTTACATTTCAGAACAAAGCATTATTCTCGGTTATGGTAACACTGGAGCCTTAAGCTTATAGCTCATAACTCGTTGTTCTACTCACATCATCCACGTAATGAACTTCATCCACTGAGTACATCTTCTTAACATCATCCGTGCTATGAAGTCGGCCCATCCAGACAGCGAACTCTTCAGGCAGACGAGGCATGAAGAGCAATGTCTTGCCTGTAGAAACCTCCACAACGCCATAGAAATTCGGCTCCTTCACGCCGAACATCCACTGGAAGTACGGTTCCTGCGGCAGGGTAAATGAATGAACAAATAAAACGTATATCTTAATTCAACTTGTTATCGCACTAAGACGAGCAGTGAGGGAACAGCAGATATGAAACCGGGATAATTCAAGGCCCACATGTATCATTAAGAAAATGCAGACAAATCAGTAATAAGTATGAAAGAAGAAGATGGTGAGCACGGCACATTTTAAGATAGAACCCAAGATATCTATCTGAATCAACTATTCATATTACAAACAAGTTAGGAAAGATACACAGAGCGTAATAATTCTGGCAGGTTCGCCTTACTACTGCCTCCAGATATTAAAAATTCCTTCTGCGCAATCGTTTCGAAAGCAGTAAGATTTAAGGAAAGAGTGCAGTGAGCATGAACTGTGGGCTTCATCTCTCTCTGTAACTTTTGTTCAAAATATTTGCTCCGACAAATATTTATCCAGTCACTCTCGAGATGCGCGCAGATGTTTTCTATAAAGTTACTGTTGTCCGATTTTTAACCAAAATTGGCATGTCCCAACAAATTGTAATCGAATTCCGCTGTATAAAGTGTCGTCAAACTACGCTGTGTACTTCTTGAGATTTACATGCTAACATGCTAACATACATGTATATATCTGATATAATGAGCATAGAACAGATACGACGATCATCGATTCTTTAATAATTTGTGAAAAATGTCCATTCTACACATTGCCAATCTTATTATATCGGCTGAAAGGTGAGACTCAGACCTGTTCTGTCTCAAAACAAATCACCCTGTATTCTTCGGGGTCGTTAGCACGCGTCTATATTCCGCAGCACGCGGTAGCGTAGTTGGTTGAGGCACTATGCTACAAGCCGAAAAGTCAAAGGTTCGAGTCCCGATGAGTTTTTTTTTTCAATTGACCTAACCCTTCCAGCCGCACTATGACCCTGGGGTCGACTCAGTCTTTAACAGAAATGAGTACTATGAATCTTCCTGGGGGATAAAGGGCGGCCGGCGCGTAAGGCTGACAACCTCACCGCCATCTGTGAGCCGATTGCCTAGATAATGTGGGACACTCAACGTCTCACAACCCTATAGGACTTTATGGTCTCTTACAAGGATAGCTTTACCTTTTATGTTAGATAATTCTTCGGGCTATTCTATTAAGTTCCACATGTTGATGTTCATGCCACTGCCTTCTGTATTCTTGTGTTCTTCTAAATTAAAAGTTTCTAATTCGGTGCGTATCGTATTACATTACTGCAGACCGCAAAGGCTAAGTTCAGATATTCGTTGCAGAAATGTTCATTTCTGCTGTTTCATCCGTCTCCTATCATCTCTCTTCAGCGCCAATATTATGTAGGATACAGCCCATCGTCTCAGTATATTTCATATATAAAACGTTTCGGCAGTCAGATCTACTCCCGTCTTCATGTCATTATACTGAGATATTTGTCATATGATTGCTTATTCTAAGATTAGTGGCAACGGTCCGGATCGAACCACGGCCTTTTGAATTAAAGACCACTACAACTAATTGTGGCCACTAATTGCTGGAATCAGTATGTATATCTGAAACTAAAAGGTTTTATTCCTATGTTTCCTGACATACGGCTCACTCTGAGAACTAAATCCTAAATCAATGCAGAAGTAGAACCAATGGTGGGTAGCACATATTTTATACTCGGATCATGGGATATTCCAGTGCCCATGAAATACAATTTTTGCGACATTGTAGGAGGGCAGGGTCAAACTTAGGATTTTAAGCAAAACCTACGAGAGTTTTGTATTCTTGTCTTGGAGCCCGAAACACAAGAAATATTACTACCCAAATAACAAAGAGCAATAACCTAAATACAATAATATGAACAAGCCTTCCGTAAGAAATGAGCTAAAATCCAGTAAACGTGACGGTTCATGTTATCGGAATTGAATAAAGGGAAACGTCTCGCCGATAAAGACATGAACATTGCCGAAACTTTCTCTCTAAAAACAAGTTTTCTGGTACTCCCGATTTCAGATTCGGGAACAAAACAACAATGTGCAGACAGACGTGCGACTTGTGGACAAGTCTGCTCGTACGCATGAATTGATTGCTGGTATGAGTACCCGCTGAATAAATGCGGAGCATTTGTTTGTTCATTTATTTATTCCTGAATATTTTTATTCAATGTAGCAAAGTCAAAGTCTGCGAGTGAAACTTGAAACTGTTCAACTACTGACAAAACAACGTATACCAACTTTCAGGTCACACGGTATGATACTAATAGAGATTTTAGGCTCAAATTCTATCCCTTAATCAGGTCTACGTAACTATTACGCCCAAACCTACCAAACAGAAATAGTGTCAACTTGAAACCTCAAGTCATATGATACGCGATAAGACTGGGCTTGACAGAACGCATTTTAAGTCTACGTGATGGGTGACTGACCTCCTTCCTCCTTGGTAACGCGTGGGACAAATACTGCTTAGGCAATGGTGCAGTTGACAGCACAAACTCGGATTGAAAAATTGAAACTGAACAACAATACTGCAAAACTATGTAACATACTCATTATGAGTTTGATTTGTTTCATTCTGGTCCGTCACACTAACAATTACAAATATAAATCACTCCGTCCAATGTGACCTGTAAGATTTTTACTACATGAAAACTTAACACCCTTACATGTTTCGGTCTCTGCGGACCATCTTCAGAGGGCAAACATCACTACAAATAGGAAACCACCATCACATAAGTTGTTCACACGTAAGGTACGTACACTTATATGCTACAATGCATAGTACATAAAATAGAACATTTCACAAACACAGCAGTTTCCTGTGAATGTAAAGTCTTTAAAAAATTGTATAAAATTTCTAGATGCTAATTAAAATTTTTTTTTGTATTGTCAATAATTAAAATTCGTAAATCATGCAGGCTCGTGTTCGTCCTCCCATCGTCCCTCTTGTATGCGGCAGATATTGTGCCACCTTGTGTACATTCTATGTGGTCCAAGCTTCAACACCGAAGCCACACACTGAACAAAATCATGAACAAGTTCAATCCTGTTCACATCTTCGAAATGAGTTATTACGATTACTGCAATAACTGTTAATACAATTACCGCAATTACTGCTACTGTTGCTGCTGGCACAAACATAACCGATACTAAAATCCATTATCAAATCTAAGAAGCCTTGATCCATTATAACAAGCGAATTATAAGAGCAACACATGACCTAGTCTTGGGACTGTTCCAGAATTAAGTAACCTGCTTCTCTACGGCCCATTTTAACATCATCCCTTACGTTTTTCGGGCTTCACATTGTTCGCCTTACTTAACGAAATTCTACACACACGCGCGCGCACGCACACACACACACACACACACNCACGTAAGGTACGTACACTTATATGCTACAATGCATAGTACATAAAATAGAACATTTCACAAACACAGCAGTTTCCTGTGAATGTAAAGTCCTTAAAAAATTGTATAAAATTTCTAGATGCTAATTAAAATTTTTTTGTATTGTCAATAATTAAAATTCGTAAATCATGCAGGCTCGTGTTCGTCCTCCCATCGTCCCTCTTGTATGCGGCAGATATTGTGCCACCTTGTGTACATTCTATGTGGTCCAAGCTTCAACACCGAAGCCACACACTGAACAAAATCATGAACAAGTTCAATCCTGTTCACATCTTCGAAATGAGTTATTACGATTACTGCAATAACTGTTAATACAATTACCGCAATTACTGCTACTGTTGCTGCTGGCACAAACATAACCGATACTAAAATCCATTATCAAATCTAAGAAGCCTTGATCCATTATAACAAGCGAATTATAAGAGCAACACATGACCTAGTCTTGGGACTGTTCCAGAATTAAGTAACCTGCTTCTCTACGGCCCATTTTAACATCATCCCTTACGTTTTTCGGGCTTCACATTGTTCGCCTTACTTAACGAAATTCTACACACACGCGCGCGCACGCACACACACACACACACACACATCTATCTATCTACCTATGGTTCTACACTCCTTGTGGACCTTGTCCTCTTTTTCAGTTTCTTAATCCATACACAGTCGGCAGAACTCCTTAGAGGGGGGATCAGCCAGTCGCAAGGCCGTTATATACACAGAACAACATAAATGCAGAATAAACGCAGTCAAACATCCATGCCTCGAGTAGGATTCGAACCCACGATCCCAGTGTTCGAGCGGGCGAAGACGATTCATGTCAGAGACCGCGCTGTCAATGTAATCGGCTTGTTTCCAGTCTTAAAACCTTAATGTTACGTCTTTAGAAGTCAAAGTTAAAGTTGTCCGTGTGCTTAACTAATTAAGTACTCAGCCATGAAGACGTATGTGGGAGTGGATATACAGATCCACATTTTCTTGAGATCGATACTAGCTGCAGGTGAATGGTCAGCTTCACGCCCCGGCCGCTTTACCCCCGGGGAAAGAGCCCACGTTACCCTTTGGATAGGAGGTTGGGCGGACCCCAGAGCCGGTCTGGACGACGTAGAGAAGAGAAAATTCGTGACCCTACCGGGACTCGAACTGCGACCCCTCGGTCGTCCAGCCCGTAGCCAGTCGTTATACCGACTGCGCTATCCCAGCTCCTCCTTCTTACAAGTACAGATGGGTAAATAAATTAAATTAGTTCATAGTTGTGTCTACCTGAACAGTCATGAGCATGGTGGGTACCATGGTCTGGACAGGAGCGCAACACCTTCATTTGGAAGTTATGATGTCTACCACATTGCTGTTTGCATTTCGACCGCATAATCCACTATCATTTCATTATTGTTAATGAATGCTTCCATTCCGGAAACAAGAAAAACAAGCATCGGTTTAAATCAGCGAGGCTTTAAGTATTCTTTACCGGAAACAAGCCATATTTCTCGGCTGTGTAAAAACAAAAAGAGCGAATACCGTTAACAGAACCAGGAAACTCGGCTTTAACAAAATACGGAAGAACGGGCAGGGCTTTCTAAACACGCAGTCGATGATACTGTTGATAAAACATGAATTAATTAATGT